GTTGCTTGGGGCCTACGCTTCTGTTAAGCTCGTTTTGTTCTTCTAAATTTCTGATAGCTCATTCGTTGTACTCAGTGACGACTGCTTACTGCCTTTGGGGAAAGACAGTGGTCAGCACAGGAATCGGTCTGCACTGAAGGGGGGGGGGAATTGCGCAGCATCTACCTCGCTCGCTTCTCCTGTATCAAGCATGTAGCTATACCAAGATGAAATCAAGACGACTGGAGGTACCTGTGAACGCAATGTCGGAGGAAATTAAGCTTAGCGCCACACGCACACAAGTGAAGCTTTAACTAGAGGATCTTGGAGAGACAGGAGGGGGACCGAGAACTCCGCCAGTCGACAGCCTTCCAAGCCATTGTTTTTAATGCCTCAGATAGCTTATAGTAGGGTTACCATGCATGTTCTAAAGATCTCACCCTTCACTCATTCTCCTACTGTGCATCGATAGCATGTTTAAGATAAATGAATAACAAGATCGAATGGATTGACTGCCTTGGCATAACGCCTCCATCTAGCGCCTGCCACACAACTGGGTAGATTTAACCCCATTGCGCAGCCCTTGTTCGTGGTCCATAATTTAAACTTGCAAATTTATAGTGCTACCGAAGTGAATAAGACGCAGGCGCTCCGTTTCATCCTGAGACTCCGGATCTGGGACTTTCACAGGGGTATGACTGGCTGTTGACAATGAACAAACCAGGAGTGGCAATTCCATTTTCTTCTCCGTTAGTAGGATTTATCATCTAGTGATTCAAAAATGATCAAGCAGTTTCGGAATGGCTTTTAAAATGTCTTCTTCCAGCCTACCAGCGCATGCTAACCCATGCTGCTACGCAGAGAAACTAACCTTTACCGTCATTAGGTCTTTCTACTTCAGTTGCCCATTCGGGACACCAGGGATTCAAGTCGATCTTCGAGGCAGCGAAAGTTTGGGGTCTTGCTCACTTGTTCCAGGAACAGTACTCTGTCGCCTGCGGTCAGGAATGTTCACTTTCCTACCTTAGCCTG